AATTATATGAAATTAAATTTTTAAACATAATTAATCTTTTTATAACTTTATTACTAAGATTTGATTTGGACATGTTTAAAATTTATTTTCTTGAACCTTTGATTTTTTATTTAAATTTACAACGAATTCTACTTTATTTTTATCTTCAACTATTAAAATTTTAAAATATAGTTATATTAAATGGAGAATGAGATACGTATAAAGAAACTCCTAACAAGAATTCTCGATCTGTACGTGTCTCTTTTTAAGTAGGGATGGAAATGGGGGATTGAGGTGGACTTTTAGGCCATTTCAACACACAATTTATAAAAAAATAAAAAAATAATAAAAAAAAACAACAACAACAACAAAGAGAGAGAGAACTTTTCAGCTTCCAAGGTTTTTTTTTTCAGCTTCCAAATACCTATATTTAAACAATTGCTATAGAAAGAGTTTTAGGTTGTGTTTGGAGTTGTTTTTGTTTCTGTTTTTTATATTTTTTTAAAAATAAAAAATGAAAACGGAGAGAAATGGCTTTGGCACAATTAAAGACAAAAAAAAAATAGAAATGAAAATGATTTTTTGGTTTAGTGTAAATTGAGAGAGAAATGAAAAATGACTTTTAGTCATTTTTTATTTTTTGTTTTCATTTTCTCCTCTCTCGAGTAGAGAAAAAGAGAGAGAGACATTAATGGATTTTTTATACTGAAAATAATCTCTTAATAAAACTACCAAACGCATTTTCAAAAATGATTTCTGTTTGAGATTGAAAACGTTTTCATTTTCATGCAAAAAATAAAATTATTTTGAAACAAATTCCAAACACACCATTAGTTTCTTATATCACATGAAAGCATAGAAAATTGTAGTATATGCACTATTTTTAGAAAAAGACAAATTTATTATATAATGAAAATTTACCTATGTTTTATCGATATTTTTACTAGAGTTTTCCTGAAATTTTCCTTATTTTCACTACAATTTACCGATGTTTTATCGAAGTTTTACTGCAAAGCCTTTCTTCACAGTTCACTCTATCTTCCGTGGAGCACACAAGAAAAAAGGCAATCAGGAAACGACGTGTCGTAATCAATGAACCAAACGTTTTCTAAGTATAGTAATTGAAAGTTTTTAGAAGATTTTTCAGTTTCCATTAAAGTTGAGAAGGGGATTTTTGGTGACTTACAGGAGTATATGGCCCTAACCACCATAATAAAAAAGTGTTATTTTGGGATGAGTTAGCAGGGCTTTGGAGTTTATGTGGTCAAAGATGGTGCGTTGGAGGAGATTTCAACGTTACTTGGTTCTTGTCAGAAAAGAGTGGCAACAATACCGTTACTAAGTATGAAGCTGTTTGATGAGCTCATTAAAGATTTTAGGTTGACTGATCCGCCTCTTCATAACGCAAAATTTACCTAGTCTACTTATCCTAGTTCAATCTCGATCAACTCTACTTATATTAATATCATTTAAATTACCATTAATGTTTGTTTCAGAGCTGAAACTAATGCCCATATGAACACTGCTGAAATCACAAAAAGGCGCGTTTAGAACTCATTCTAAAATAATTTTATTTTTTGTATGAAAATAAAAATGAAAACGTTTTTAATCTCAGACAAAAATCATTTTTGAATATGAGTTTGGTAATTTTATTAAGAGATTATTTTCAGTATAAAAAAACTCATTAATGTCTCTCTCTTTCTCTTTGCTCGAGAGAGGAGAAAACGGAAAAAAAAAATGAAAACGACTAAAAGTCGTTTTTCATTTCTCTCTCATTTTACATTAAACTAAAAAATTGTATACATTTTCATTTTTATCTTTATTATGCCAAACACCGTTTTAAAAACGTTTTCATTTTTTTTTCTTAAAAAATGTGAAAAATAAAAACGAGATCAATTCTAAACACGACATTTGTTTCTTTCCTTTTGCATACATTCAATGACTATTTTGTTCATCATTGGCCATCTTTTTTCAAAAGAACATCATCCTCTAGCATTGCTTCTTTTGTCACATACATAAAAACATTCATTCCATGCTCTCTTTTCTTTTTCATTTTCTTTTTTTTTTTTCCATCCAACCAAACCCACTAACTGTTTTGCATATCTAATTCTTAAAGATTCTAAATAATCCAATATTTCCCATAAATGTTCTTGTAAGATAAACCAGAACGTGTTATAAACTGTGAGATCTAAACTTCATAAATACAATCTATATCAATACAATAGCGCCATAAACAAAATTAGCTCATATAATGGGATTTCCATCTGAATCGGCAGACGCCAAACCAAGTTAAAAATAAATTGAGAGCAGTCAAAACAAAAAATCGTTCACTTCGCTGATTCGAGTTTAGAATTCGAGTTTTTCTATAGTAAAAAGCTCTCACAAACAATCACATCTAGCTTTTTTACTACAGTAAAAAGCTCTCATATAAAATCACATCTAAATTCAAATTCTAAACTCGAATCAGCGAAGTAAACGAGACAATGCGATGCTGTATTATTATTAGTTCATTCTTCAAACAAACAAAGCGGTAAACAAAATAGTACCAACAGTGACAACCATCGCCAGTGGACTCGTACGCAATCCCCCAAACCTAAAAGCAAAAGAGTTTTCAGAAACATAAAGATAAAGATCCAAAAAAAAAAAAAAGAAGAAGAAGAATAAGAAGCAATATACAATGAAGATGCATAATTAAATTTTACGCACACTAAGCAAGAAAACGGCGGGATTGACTGGTTAGCTCGTACAATCAACAAAAAAATTGTTCGTCTTAGTAAAATCTAATTTGAAAGACTAGTTGATTTCTTCTATAAGCGTTAGGTGAGAACATGAGGACACTAATAATTTTTTCTTTTTAAAGAGATTATAACATCTATTAGAGGGTGGAAAACCAAAGACGCTACATGAAAATAGAGAAACAAGCAAAGTTGTTTATAAGGAAGCAGGTGATATATCATGGCATCGTTTACTTCGTAGATTCGAGTTTTCAATTCGAGTTGATATGTGATATTTTTTTAGAGCTTTTCACTGTAATAGAAAAAGTTAAATGTGACATTTTTTGAAAACTTTTTATTATAAAAACTTAAAATTGAAAACTCGAATCGGTGAAATGAACGAGGCCAATATTATTTGTGCAGACCATGTCATTACAATACACCATCACATGCACACGCGTGTGGGCTTTTTAAGGCGCACATATACATCATTGCAAGGAGATAAGAAGCTCTCTTTTTACTTGTTTGCATTTCTCATATTTAATGTGAGCCGTTGATACGATTGAGTACCATACAACTGTTAAAATTAAATGTAAACATTTACATAAGTGTGATCAAATGGTCAGAATTAAGTTTTTATTATTGACATTTATGTCGGTTCATGAAGACACTTTTTAATAAAAAATTATATATGCTGTAAGAGTTGTACCCATTCACGAACATACATGATTTTAAATATAAATAAACATTCTAAACTTGGATCACTTTCATCTTTTGTTTTAAAAATCAATAAGATTGTTACTTATTAAATTTGTCAAAAATATCTTAGCAAACTTACGTAGTGGGGGCAAATAAAATCTTATAAAAAGTATTCGTTAGGCCTCAAACCCATCTTTCTGCATTTTAATTAACACACTCAAATAGTTTTCCATTTGATTTCACATTTTTCACTAGCAAAAAAATAAAATAAAATAAAGAATAGCATATTTGATACATAATGCAATGGAAAATCTAAATTGTGAAGAAATTCTAGAACGACATTACATCAAATTGGACATATAATATCATAGGTGAAAGCAAATATAAAGAGTAGCGTGTATTTATGAATGAATTGTTTTACAACTCAGGGGACTTTTGCACTTTTTTTTTTTGTTACTTTTGGTTAGACCTAGTTAACTAGGTACCCCTCTCTCGAACAAAAAGGAAAACAAAAAAAGAAATTTAAAATATCAAGAAATCAAGGTTGTCCATCTAATTTCCAATGGCTACAATGTATGTACTGACCGGTCAGGCATTTTATTCCTGCCGGACCAAAGACAATTCATAAACTATTAATAACAAAATAAAAATTATATATATTAAAAATATAAAAAAATATTATGTACGATGATCTTTAAATTAGAAATAAAAATAAAAATAATAAATAGGTCTATTTTAATTATTATATATTTATACATTAATTTTATATGTTGTTTAATAAATATTTAAATTTTCATTTATGGTGTTACAGTTTTAAAAATTAACTTACCAAACACCTACAAGCTTTTAATCACTATAACTTCTAACTAATACGCACAACTATAACAAATATTTTCAACAGCACTACAGCGCCAAACTAACCCTAATGTAGTATGTTGACATAGATTCCATATGAGCAAAAGCATATGTATACTCTTGTAGTAAACCTAAAATATAAAAAAATTAAAAGGTTAATCACGCAAATAGTCTCTAACGTTTAGCATCAATCTCACTTTGGTCCCAACTTTTAAAATGTCTCACAATTAGTTCCAAGTCATTACTTTGTTTTAATTTTAGTCATTCTATTAGCTATACGTTATTAGTGAAATTTAATTTTTGTTTTTATATCATTTCAGTCTCTAGACTTTAGATTTTTTCAATTTTGGTTCCTAAATTTTCAAATATTTTGTGAATATACTTAACAATTAACTAATTGAAGTATTGAAACCGAAATAAAGTAATAGATTAGAGACAAATTGTGAATCATTTAAAAAGTCGAGGACTAAAGTGTGATTGAGAGTAAACCGATCTTTTGTAGAATTAATAATTAAATTTTAATCCCTAACTCATCACACAGGCGATCTCGCACAAGAGCACAGTTGGCAAACTATTATTGGTCTTTGACCAGACGAGATTCCAACAGCCTGATTAAGTTATCCTTCCCATTTGAGAACGAAATTCCAATAATAACCCTAACAAGCGGACAATGTGCAGTGCAAAACACAAGGGTAGTGGAGGGAAGTATAAAATATAACATCCCTAAAGAGAAGCGGCACCCGATCTAGAGCTCACAAATCGCCTCCAGAAGCTCTCAAAACCCTCTCTCTCTCTCGTCTTCTCTCTTCCTCAGATCTAGATCCAACCCTTTTTAAAGCCTTCAAATACAAATTCCTTTCTCCTATATATATACACATATATATAAAAGGTACCGCTTTTCAAACTCTTCCCGCTATTTCCAAAGAACAGGCCTAGACCGATTTTCTTTTTCGTTTTCTTTAAGATTTTCCCGGAAAATTGTACTCAGATCTGCTGATATCTCTTGCTTCTATTGCTCATCGAAACCTTAGCTATTTTATACTGAAAGATCTTTAGTTCAACCGTTCTAGAATCTCAAGATACTATAAACCCTAGCTTTGTAACCTCTTGTTTAGGTTGGAACAAATTCGGATAATTCAAAGGGGCTTTTCGTTGTAATAAGGACGCCATGGAAGCGCAGATCTGATTTCTTGATCATGCCTTCCTTGTGTTTACTTGTATTCTTTTTTGAAGTAAAAATTTTATGTTTTTGTCGTTGTCGTTTTTTCACTGTACAAAATTGTCTTAGAAAAGAAAAATAAGATGAATAATTTTTCTTTGGTTGAATAATTTCTCTCGGAAGGTTTTGATTTTGATTTTTTTTTTCTGTACCCATTTGTTCTGTTTCTTCTAATACTTAAGCATATTTTCTGCGAAAAAATTCAATGTAAACAAAAAGAATGTGGGTTTTCTTTTCTTTTCTCTCTCTCTCTCTCTTTTTTTTTTTTGGGAAGAGTTGCGTCTCTGAATTAAATTTGCCTGAAATTAATACTTCTTTTTATGTTATGGTGGTGAAAATAGATTTGACGTTTGAGTCATTCTCACTGATATAAAGGGGAGTGAAAGCCAACAATGGCGGAACAAGTCGTGGAAGGAAGCCAACCGGTGGATCTCGCGAAGCATCCTTCGGGGATTGTTCCAACCCTCCAGTGAGCCCATTTTACCAATACAGACGCACACACACACATACATATAGAAGGAGTTTATATATTGGCTATGTGGATTCATACAATAAAATCAACGACAATGAAAATGCAGATATTGCATATATGTGGCTCTATTTGAATGTGCATTTTGTGCTGCATATCATTAATACTTTAGTTGGCCATGTTGCACAGCTGGTAAAACATCTATATCACCTCAGTGCTTGTCCATTTCACTTGAGATTTAACTTTACTAAGACCTCAAGCCAAGCTGAGAAGCTCTTGTGGCTGCATAAATATAAACTTGTGCTGCGTATCTGTTTTGTATTGAATCAACCCATATCAGTCATTATATAGTGTCTACTATAGAGCAGTTGATATAAGTAGAGTTTAATGTATGATGGCTAAATACGAAGGCTACATATTACAGTTCTGTGTGGTTCTCAAGCAGTAGCTTAATATTGCGGATTTCAGCTCAAATACATGAAGGATGTTACTAGATAGATTGCTGATTGCTCATTAAACTTCCATTTCAAATAATTAATTTTAAAGCTGTTCTTGTCTTATGGGTATGTTCTCTTAAATCACAAATAAGTAAGAACGACCGCCACTGGCAAGGAGAAGATGCGGGTTTGGTTCCCGATATCCATTACTTATTTGGCCTTTGATAAGATATACAAGGAAAAAAAAAAGGACTTAGGACGTAGAAAATACTTTTGTCTTATTATTTCTTTTCAAAAACTGAGCACGTTCTCTAAAATTGTTCAACAAGTGACTGACCAGCTGAAACAAGTTTTTTTTAGCTCTATTGTATATATGTTCGTTAAGCACGTAAAAATTTTTGCCTCCTTCCAAATTTCCAGAAATATCGTCTCAACGGTCAATTTGGACTGCAAGTTGGATCTTAAGGCCATTGCACTCCAAGCTAGAAATGCTGAATACAATCCTAAGGCATGTAACAGCTCTCCTTCTCCCTTTCCAACTCTTGCCCCTCCCTTTTACTCTTTCTTTACCCTTCTTTTTTTTCATACTATACTGAAGGTCGGCTACCAGCTTTATAGCTCAATATTAATACGATTTGTGCGATACCAAATATTTTCCAATATATCTTTTTTTTTTCTCTCCTTTTTCTGAGCCTCCTTTAGCTGAAGTAGCTTCATGCTTGATGTTGATACTTTGTGCTTTGACAAACTACTAGTCAAAAGTTCAATACAAGACTATTTGCAATATGTTCCTACAAGTAAAAACTTCTCTCCCTTTCATATTACTTTGCTAACTCATATTTCCTTGCAGCGTTTTGCAGCAGTTATAATGAGAATAAGAGAACCAAAAACCACAGCATTGATATTTGCATCTGGCAAGATGGTAAGTTTCAAGAGCGGATCAGAGTGATCCTTGGTTGATATTTGTGTCCAATGTCAAGTGATCCTTACAGCATTTAATCTAAGTTTTAAGTTTGTGGTAAGCGAGGTTTGTTGGTGCATAATTATGAGAACCTTCTGGCTTTTTTTTTTTCCCTCCCTTGAGCTGTTGGTTTGTGACCGTTTATGGGATGGGTGTCATGTTATGATAGCTTGCGGAAAAATCTTCTTATCAGAATTTGAAGCTCATTTCTGTGTGTTGTGATGCTGTCCAGGTTTGTACTGGGGCTAAGAGTGAACAACAGTCGAAACTTGCAGCAAGAAAGGTAATCAGATTACTTCCAAATTCGGCCCTATGTTTTATCTAGTCATAATGCTATTTTTGGTAACTTGGTACCCTAATGCCTTGTTTGCCTAAAAGTTTTATTTGGTTCTCAATCTCACACCCATGGCACGTACTATAAGAAAGCCAGTTAATAGTCTTTGGATTGTTGTATATAATGTAATGGTTTTGTTTATTTGAAATAATAACAATTATAATGCAATTGTGATCATGCTTTTGGAAGAGCTTCTGAGATTCTTATACGCTATTTCTCTTGTTCAGTATGCTCGAATCATCCAGAAACTTGGTTTCCCAGCAAAGTTTAAGGTATGTCATTCTTTTCCCCTCCCTCTTGTACAAATCCGTTCATTAACTTCTACAAAAGTTTAATGTTTTTATGTTTCAAAATTTGTGATTTAAATTTCTTACTGTTTACTATTAGTCTTGTCTAAGACATGATGATTTTTGTTATGACAGGATTTTAAAATCCAGAATATAGTAGGATCCTGTGATGTTAAATTTCCCATAAGGCTTGAAGGACTTGCATATTCCCATGGTGCTTTCTCAAGTGTAAGTGCCAACTCTGTATTTCAATCTATGGTTTCTTTCCCAACATTACTCTCATATTACTTGAATTTTTTATTTTATATTTTCCCCTTTTCTAGCTGAAGTTTCTTGTCTTTCAGTTTACAATCTTAAACTCTTAAGGATTTTTTTTTTTTTTTTGGGCTCATCATCTTTGGGAATGATTCAGCGAGTTGGTAAAAAGGATTGTAGGGGGGATGAGAGTTGTTGGATCTGTTGCTTTCTTTTACATTCTCGAATAATTTCAAGTTATCTAAACCATAATACTTTCGTTGTTTTCTTATTTTGTTAATGCTTATTGTTCTTCACCTCTGGCGATCAGTATGAACCAGAACTATTCCCAGGCTTGATTTATCGCATGAAGCAACCAAAGATTGTGCTGCTCATCTTTGTTTCAGGAAAAATTGTCCTTACAGGGGCGAAGGTAAAGTGCATTGTTTGAATGATTTGTTTTGGATTGTCAAGTGATTCTTGTGTGTTACTTAACCAGAAGTAAACATTTTTCTTTTCCAGGTAAGGGATGAGACCTACACAGCCTTCGAAAACATATACCCGGTTCTTACAGAGTTCAGGAAGAATCAACAATAATAATGCGTCCGAGGACTCGATCATAATGACTAAGTATTGAAAATTTTGGCATATGTTTGTCCAAAAATCAATGCCCATAAAAGGTATACACAATGTCAAGTGTGTCTTCAATGGCTTCACTGGATTCAATTCTGTGGGCAGATCAAATTAGGAAGAGCAGCCGAAGACAAATTTGCTCTTGGAATGTTTGCTGTAATGATAGCCGCGCCCGAATTGAATTGTAAATATGAAAGGGAATTGTGTCACAGTTGACTGGTTAATCTCTTTTCGCTGAACAGTTGACTGGTTTTACCTATGCTTGTCTGAAGATAAAATGAAGACCAAATAATTGCTCTTTTTGGTGTAAAATTGTGAGGACATTTGTCAACTCTTTGAAAAGAGAACGCAACTTTAAAAAAAAAAAAAAAAAAAAAAAACTTTAAAAAATTGAACCTAAAGTTGGTGCTGAAGACTTTTATGAAGCATTCTCATTCAATTGGTTTTCCAAAGTAGGTTTTTCCCTGGAGCACATGCTACGCATTTGCATCGGCAAGAATCAAATAATATGAAAGAATTATGCAAATTGAAGTCTCCCCAATATTTGTGTGCTTACTGTATTGATAATAGGTTTTTCGTCCCAAAAATTACCAAGGCAGCCTTCACGATTTGCTTATTAATCATAAATGCTGCTTTTCAGAGCATCAATTTCTTCTTAGCATGCTTTCTTAAAAGATCGAAGTTTCCAAGTATAACAGAGATACAAATTATATTGCTATAAATCACACTATTAAAATTGAATGCAAAAGATGGGGAAAAGTTGTAGCGTAAACCATTTTTTTATTCATTGTTTATTATTATTATGAGCAAATAATGGATTTTTTTTCTTTCTATAAACAGAATAAAAAAGGGTGGAAATATTTAATCAAATACAATTTGAAGCGTTTTCTAAATTGATTGATCATTATTATTAGAGATGAAAGAGGGATATAGGCCAAGACTTAAGATGAATTAAAATTAATAGGCTAATAGTTTACATAAGTTAATAAATAGGTCAAATTACTGTTTTCGTCAATAACTTGTCTGATTATGAACCATAACTTGACAAATTATGACCTATTAATTTTTATAACTAAAAATTGACCTATATACTTTCTTAAACTTTTTATATTGGCCTATTTTCTACTATTTCTCTTATTATTATTTGCAAAAGCCTAGAAGTTTAAGCTCAAGCTTCCTGCTAACTTTTGAGGAATACGGCCCGTTTATGTTGTTGAATCCCAATTGATAGAATTAGTCGCGTAAAATGCGAGTTCAAGTACGGAGGCTGTTTTGACCCTCAACTTAACTAAACTATCGAACCAAATTATCCATTATTTACAATATTTGATAAATAGACGCAATAGACAGAAATTATGTACCCCTATTATTCCTTAACCTTTTGAGACTGGTATATAGGGTGGAAAAAAAATGCAATGCACAAAAGAAGAAAACTTGAAAAATTGGTTCTTTTAGGTTCAATTCAATTCTAAAATTCTTCACTGATCAAACTACAAAATTCAATACAAGCCGCACTCCATGACGCTAAGCTACCCTCTCACTAGAATTCCTTGTGTTTGTATACAAAAAGCTTGGTCACCCCACAAATATATATATATATATATATATATATACCAACTAATGACCAGTTGTATTGCTTTCCACCGAGCTTGATCTTTATTCTCTCTCTCTCTCTCTCTCATGCTAGGCTTAAATTACTCAGTATCCATATCCTGCCATCAAAAAAGAAAACGAAAAAAAAAAAAAAAGTTAAAGAGAAACCCTTTTCAGTTTCCCACTTGACAACCTTGTAATTCAAAGATCCAAACCTGAATTGCCCATGGGGTTGCCGGCAGGCACCGGTTCTGACTCCTTAATCTCAACAACTACGCAATCCGACATTAAGAACGTTTTCGCAACGGAGGATGCATGTTCTAGGCAACATCTGACCACCTGACAGATCAAGGGAGAACATGAGAACTTCAATTCTAGCTCAATTTATTCGGGATACAAAAATTTGAAATCCTTGAATTCAGTTCAGATTCGCAAAGAACAGAATGTATGATGTATTGTCGTAATTAACAAACCTTGGTTGGATCAATGATTCCAGCAGCCATTAAATCTTCATATTTTCCACTTGCGGCGTTGAATCCGTATCTAGGATTGTCACTGGAGAGCACCTAAAGAAAAAAAGGAAGCTTCAAATTATTTTCCACACGGCATAATTAAGATTCAACCAATCATTATGCAGCGGGAAAAAAAAATATACTTTCTCACTGACAACACTTCCATTAACTCCCGCATTCTTGGCAATTAATTTCAATGGGTAACTCAGAGCTCTCTTAACAATATCAGCTCCGACCTGAAATTATCAAAAGGTTGAATTAAAACCATAAAAAGAAAGCACATTAGAAAATCTTGACACCGCTTGGAAATAGTGTTTTCCCGGCTGACAAATTAGAAAACAGATACAGCCATCCCGGTTAAAGGAAAAAATTACCTTTTCCTCTTCGTTCTCGAGGGTGTCCTTGATTCCGTCCACCTTTGATGCCAATCTCAACAGGGTGCATCCACCACCTACTACAATACCTTCCTCTACAGCAGCCTGAAAGTCAGAAAATGTGAATGTTAGCTCAGGCTGTTTTTTGATGTTCCATAAACACAAGAAGAATCTTTCCAAGGATATAACACATTCAAACATTAGACTGTAAGAGAGGTAGACTACCTTTGTTGCATTAAGAGCATCTTCAACTCTCAATTTCTTTTCTTTGAGCTCTGTCTCAGTTTGTGCTCCAACCTTTGATAGTTGAAAAAAAAAAAAAAAAAGTTGTGTAAGTGAGATCATTTTAAAATTGACGTTGTGAAATGACATCACAAATGACACCCCTTTACAGGTATCTTAAGTTTACCTGAATCACAGCAACACCACCAGATAATTTAGCGATTCTCTCATTAAGTTTTTCCTTCTCATAGTCTTGCTCAGCAACCTATTATATGATATCAGCAAATTAGTCTTCCAATAACATGAAGGAATCGAAGCACACTAGCAATTTGTTTCCTAGTATGTGAATGTGATAGTAAATTATGACGCAAAGAAAAACAGTACCTCAATAAGATTTCTAATCTGTGCAACTCTCTTGTTTACTGCTTCCTGCGTGCTTCCATCACCAACAATAGTGGTGGTATCCTTCGTAAGAACCACCTTTGAAGCCTGACCGAGGACCTCCTTGCCTACTTTGTCCAAGGTGAGCCCCACTTCATCTCTGACCACAGTTCCTGCATGACAATTGAAAAGTTGCAACGTGAGCAGAAAGAGGAAGAGACCGTGAGTGGTGCCAACAGGTAACCTGTGGATACAGAACGACTCTCATAAAGTAGATGTGAAACAACCTCCAGTGAGAATAGCAATATCGTCAAGGTATTGGCTCTTGCGCTCTCCAAAGCCAGGAGCTTTCAAGGCAGCAATCTTGAGTGCCCCTCTAAGCTTGTTCACAACAAGAGTTGCCAGTGCTTCTTGTTCAATGTCTTCTGCAATTATCAAAACTGGGTATGCACCCCTGATGGCATCCTCCAAAACATTGATAAGGTCCCTTGCGTTTGTTATTTTCTTGTCAACAAGAAGCAACTACATAGACACATGCCCTAATCAGTTTGTGTTCAGAAACAACATATACCTAAAGGCTAAAGTCCAATACGTTACCTTGCAGTTCTCGTACTCCACTGCCATTTTCTCGCTGTCGGTAACAAAATAAGGTGAAATGTAACCACGGTCAAATTGCATTCCTTCAACGACATAGAGAAAGTTGTCCGCACTTTTCCCCTCTTCAAGGGTCACAACACCATTCCGACCCACCTTGCTCAAGGCTTCAGCTATCATGTTTCCTACCTCGTAGTTGTTTCCTGCACTAACAGCGGCCACATCTGCTAGTTCACTGTCTTCAACCTGCAAGTGTTAAGTATTTGATTAATTGAACAATTTTTACCAACAAGCATGAATACATCCACGAAGGCCAATTATGACTAGTATCTCAAACACCATTCGATGAGAGTTCGCCTACCTCCTTTGATATTGACTTTAGTTCGGACACCAAAGCTTTGGTGGTCTTCTCAATACCTCGTGTGATGAGAACAGGGTTCGCACCAGCAGCTACAACCTGAAAGAATGAAACAGGTCATTCAGCTTAACTTTTATCGAGGTATTTCAGCTTTCAAAACAAAGAAAGAAACAAAATACCAACCTTGACTCCTTCAGCAATAAGACCCTGTGCAAGAACAACAGATGTTGTTGTGCCGTCGCCAGCCAAGTCATTGGTCTTAGCAGCTGCCTGTCTCACTAATTTAGCTCCAATGTTCTCCACTGGGTCCTCCAATTCAACCTGGGAACAAACACAAAATATTAAATTAGCAATATTGCACATAACAATACTTGAGACTGGTTAAAAGAGATAAATCCAGGAAACTCACAAGATTATATGGCATGGCACACGACATATTTAACACATGATAAAATTGTCACCAAAGCAAGGCTTATCAAATATGGGTATTTATATACACACATCAAGATTAAGCACAAGGCAAGAGCAAAAACAGGAAAAGCTGACACAAGTTAGAAAATCAGTTAAAAAAAACCCATTTAAAGATAACAAGAAAGCACCAAGAACTAGTTAGACACAAATAGTAAGTTAGTGTTTTTAAGTCTACACACGAATAAAAAACCAACCCTCAGTTCAAAATTAAGCACAACTCCGAGAAGACCTTTTAAGAAAGAACACAAAGATTTAATAAGAGAGGAAACCCTACTACATTAGGGGGGAAAAAAAAAATCTAAGGCTTGCACATGGCATGCAGAATTCAAACTCACAACAAGAATAACATACCAAAAAGAGGAGAATTTTCAGACTTAAACAAGATGGGAACCAAAGGTTTCACTTGGATTGTAAGCTTGGTCAGAGTAAATAAAATCAACTCATAATAGTTCCAATACAAAGTTTGATACCAGAAAAAACGCACATATATAGAGTGACTCAAATAAATTAGACTGCATTACAACTTAGAGATACAAAAATGGGATATTAAAGAGGTAGATGACCTCTCTCGCCACAGTCACACCATCGTTAACAATTTTTGGGGAGCCATACTTGCTCTCAAGGACAACATTCCTGCCTTTAGGACCAAGGGTCACACCAACAAGATCCGCGAGTTTGTTGACACCCGTCTGAAAAAGAATTCAACAAAATACAAGTATAAGCGAAATCCAAAACTGCAAAAGCCAGGTAAAGAAACAGCAGTAAAACAAAGTGCTTTAAAAAGAATGAAGGAAAACCCACTTGTAGTTTCTTGATGGTAGAGCCATCCTTATTGAAATGCAGCTCTTTGGCCATGGCAGAAATCCTTGGCGAAGGCGTTCTTCTAACGAAATTTTGCCTTCTGACGAAAGAACACGAGGAAATGGAGGACGACGATGACAGCTTTTGGAACTTCATGTCTGTGACGCGACTGCTTGGAGCAGCCAACGAGCCAGCGGATGACATCGCAGCAAATGTAGATGCCATCTACTCTTTCTTTAACTATCTGCCAACATTCCACAAATCATCTTTTTATACCTTACCAATCTAATAAACCGCACTCCGAAAAATAACCCAACATCAAAAAAGTCTAAGCCATTTCCACTGAATTGCTAAACGCACAAAAAAAAAAAAAAACATGCACATTGCTAAAGTCTTCACTTATTTCCTTCTTTATAATAATCACTTTGCATTTCACGAATCCAAACTATTGTATTCATCAATAAGAAAGACAAAGACAAGCATTAATGAAGCTCAACGAGTTACTTCCCTTCTTTGACCAATCCAAACCACAATCCAGCAATGACAGAAAACTTTGAATTGCTAAGCCCACAAAGAAAACATGTAAACAAAGCCAATTTGGTCCAAATTTTCTGTTGTTTCTTTTGTTGTGTAAGAAAAAGCAAAACGGGTAATTTCTACAAGAGTCCTTAATGTTGTTTCAACCAGTCATTAAATAAATAAAAAAATACTAAACAAAATAGGTGATCTCTTGAGGTTCACCAAGTGGGATATTTCCCCAGACTTCTTCATTATCACTCCAGCCAAAAGAAAAAAAAAAAAAAAAAGGCACGAATTCAAGAGGGATAAACCCAGAACTCCGAGCTGAAAAACGAAGAAAAACTTCTTTTGCGAAGCACCAAAAAAAAAGGGTTTAAAATTAAAAAGTGAAGATTGAAGAGAACTGAGAAGTACTTACAGAGCGTTTAGGGTTTAGTGAGGGAGAAGAAAAGAGAAGTAGCAGGTGAGTTTTGGATAAGAAACGCCAAACAGAGAGAAACCTACTCAACTATTTGAACTACTCTTGAACCTTCCGGAGACTAATAAGAATCGAAACTTCGGGGCTGAGAATAATCTAAGCCGTCTGATTCTACGTGCTGCCTTCCCTTTCTTGTCCTCTCTTTCAGCTTCGGAACTCTCTAGAATCTTGACAAAAAAATTCATTTATTTTATCGATTTGAGTTTTATTATAAATTTTTTTCTTAAAAACAGTTATATTTAATTTTTTTGTTACAATAAAAAATTCTCACATAAAATTACATTTCAACTCAAATCAACGAATTAAACAGGTCCTGAATTGTTCTCCCATTTTGTTCCTGTTTTTGACACATTGTTTGTAGGTGTCATATTCTTCTAAGAGCCTATTTAAAAGGTGTATTTAAACGATGATTTTTAATTATGATGTTTTAAATTTAAATTTTTGTGAAAAAAATAATGTTACAAAATTAATAATTTAAGTTTAAATATATAAAACAAACAAACTCTAAATTTTTAATAGCTCAATTTTTTTTATCGATCCGAAATTACCAATTATCCGAAATAAAAATATTTATTAATTGAAAAGAAAAAAAGAATTGTTTTTTATTAAAATTAGACCCATATGATTCGTGCATAGTCGATTGAAAGTGGCAAAAACGAGCGATTAATAGCTTCTAAGGAAAAGGCTCATGGGTTGCAGGTGGAAAAACTAAAAGTGAAATGGATTTTGCGTGTTCCTCCATGCTCTTTTACTTTCTGTAATGTAATGCCTTTTAAGCCCCCATAATTTTCAAAATGTTGATTCTTTCGTATCTAATTTTATGACAAATTCACAATATGGAGGAATTGGGATTTCCATATACTATAACATATTGTTCTATTGGGGGATCATTAGATGAGGATTATGTAATGGCTTATCTTTTTCCTTCGTTCTTATTGGTCCAATAATGAGAATTAAAAATTACTTTTTATAAAAAAGATAAAAAAAAATCACCACGCTTTAAAGCATTTAAAAAACAAAAAAATATGTCTTATTATTACATAACTACAATTACTTAAAACTATGGGTGTTACAGCTAGCCTCTTACTTTTTTACTTACATTAGCATTAGAAATACAATTTGTTGTACACTAGTATTTTACAGTTGCCTCGATTGCATCCAAGATCTGCATCAGTTCAGGTACAACAACAGTCAATACCCAAAACAAAACAAAAAAAAAGAGTTAAAGTCAAAACAATTCAAAAGGCTTACCTTGTTCTTGGTGGGCAAATAGAAGGGCTCAAAAACAAGAGGAAAAGGAGTGTCAAGACCGCATATTCTCGCTATAGGTGCTTCTAACTAGAAAACACATGACGTTTGGTTAATGGATTTAGAATGATAATTCAGAATCATTTTCGATTTACGTGTATTTTTTGTAAGAGAAAATACTGTAGCGAACTACGAACCATGATTCGAATCATGGCACGAATTCACCAACCAAACGCAGTTGCCTTAACAACAGTATTTGATATGTTATATTATTTTGACACTAAAAAACAAGAAAAAAGCACATATTTGATATGCTATATTATTTTGTACTCCATTTTTCAAAGGCTGCCTCTACTTTTTATCATAATATTAAGATTTGGAACCATAAATGCAAGGTGAAAATTTTGTCTTAGTAGTAACGAGCAAATAACAGCATGCCAAAGGTTGGTTCTATGGCTTGTGTTAAAAGCATTATCATCTTTTAAAATATAAACGCAACACGAAAGAATGAACAACTTTTGGTCAACTTATATGTCTTATGGTATGTAACATGTAGTAACGAGGAAATAGTGGTGTGACAACAGGTTCGTAAATCATTACCCTTAAGAAACAACGCTCCACAATTGAAGCAGATATTTCAGCGCCAAAACCTCCAGTGATTGAAGCTTCATGACTAATCTGCATAAACAATACTTTGTATCGTCACCAAGGCCTGCATTAATCGGCGGTCGCAAAGAATATTTTCACCAAAAAAATGATACAAGGACTTACAAGAAGCCTTCCAGTCTTTCTTACAGATGCCTCCACTGTTTCCTTATCCCACGGTATTAGAGTTTTTAGGTCTATTAATTCACAAGAAATACCATCCTGAAAATTTTCATGGGTCAATTTACTGTTTAAATTACACGGGATTAAAAAGGATAAGAGCAAAAATTTTACGAACACAAGAACCCTTCCTTCGTGTTCCAGAACATGACAAACTCGACTTGAGCTCGACTTGAGAGTTAAAGTAGGGAGTGGGTAGACATTTTTTGGCAATTAAGAATTACATACCTTTTCAGCTTCGATACAGGCTTGTTCCATTATGGATAATTGAGCACCCCAACCAACAAGTGTAATATCATTTCCCTCTCGAATTACCTGAGAACCAGAATTTTAAAATTTCTCTTTTCAGATATAAAATATGATAAGCGTCCAAAAAAAACAGGAACCATGATTTTAGTTCCTTTCCAGTAAATGGTATTTTTCATCTAGGACTAAACTATAAGTAGTATACCTCAGCCTCCGATAACGGAAACATGTAGTCATGCTCTGGAACCTCTTCTACTGACAAACGATACAGCCACTGAAGCCCATAAAAAAAATTGTAAAAAATTTCGGTTCCAATATCTTTCTGGAGTTAGTCATTCGTTAAGTTACTCTAAAGCCAAAAAAAAAAAAAAAGAAAAGTTGCAATACCTTAGGCTCGAAAAACACGACAGGGTTTGGATCACGTATGCTTGACAGCAATAACCCTTTGGCTTGTTTTGGGCTTCGAGGAATGACCACCTATATGGACAAGAGTCAAGAAGTACATCTAAAGATGAGGTAATTGAAAGAAGAATTATCCTACAAGAAGGTTGAGGAAACCAAGAAAGGTGCAAGACTAGTAACTTTTTATATATACCCCTCTTACCACAGCCCTTGATATTTAAGCAATCACCTCTTTTTACTAACTGTTAAGAGTATGCAAATCAACGCAATGGAGTTAATACAGAGTAAAAATTGAAAGGTCATAATGGAAGTGGCTTCTCTCGTACTTGTTCACAAATCACTATTCTCGACTCAATTTCAAGAAATTCCAATGGGGACAGAGGGTAAGCATATGATGGAAAGAATTGTAGTACAAATGGAAGCTTTGAAAATGAGAGGGAAAAAAAAAAAAACACTTGAGTAGTGAACAAATGTCAGAGAGTCAAAGACTACTGAAACTTCTGAAGAATAAATTTGCAATGTGAAATCATTGACACCTGTGTGTATGCTATCGACTACCTATATGTATATAAAATAACTTTCTTCAAAAAGATGGGAATACTAATAGGAAGATATGAACTGCACGTCAAAATTTGCTAAAAGAGGGACATACTTTAATGCCAGGAACATGACAAAAGAAAGCTTCTGGTGACTGTGAGTGATAATGTCCACCATGGCCGACAGCTCCATAAGGCGCTCTTATTGTTAGACCTGGGAGCAATATAAAACTTAAGAAGTTAGATAAGATATAATAATGAAAGAGGGAGTTTGTAAAACACATCAAAAATTGAAAGATTTTACCTCCACAATTGAATTGGTTCCCACTCCTGTATCTGAATTTGGCTGCTTCATTGACAATCTAAAGATACAAAGTCATATCAGTTAGTGATCAGTAGTAAGGTTAAGATGAACCTGATGGTATGGAGGAAACTTGCCTGATCAAAAGCCGGAAATATATAATCTGCGAATTGGATTTCTGCTATAGCTCGATTTCCCTATCATGTCAGATCAAGCAAAAAGTAAAAAGGATTATACATATCAGATAAACCAATATTAAATAAGAACTTGCATTAAGATATTACTTCAAATCTCCACAAACTAAATACATTAAATGCTTAAAGCTTACCATTGCTGCAAGACCAATACCAAATCCGATAATGCCCTGGATATAAGGATGAGTAAAACATCGTGTTACTGAGACTCCGTGCTTGAGAATGCTAATTTGAACAAATATAAATCAACATGAAAATTGACAACAAAAGAAGAATAACATTTTTTTAAGAAACAATATCACAAATTAGTTTGGTGCACAAAAGTGCAATCAAACAGTGGTAGACATTGAGGATAGAATTCCAAAAGAACAGTTTCCAAGAACAATTTCTTAGCTTCATATTTGTAGAACATAGTGCAGATACAGAAAAAGTTAAAGACGTATACCTGTTCACAAAGAGGGGTGTTGAAGACCCTATTTTTACCAAATCGATCGGCTAGTCCTGTCGTGCAACGGAATACCCCACCAAAGCCCACATCTTCACCAAATATATAAGCACTGCAAAGAATTTTAGTTATCAGTTGATATTAATCTCTGGCTTTTAAGCATAATAAAATAGTTGAAATGACTTAATATTTGTGTCTTTCCCTTGTCAGTCTCATCACTGCATGGAAAGCTACTAAGTGACCACCCAACTGGTAACCACATGCATGATAATCATTTACGATTCATCACAGAGGCAAAGCAAGAAAAATCAATAGTGAAATGCTTGGAAAGATTTTGTTTGTCGAAAGGAATTTGCAAATCTGCTTCCCACTTGTTCTCATAAGACAATAAATGTAGGATAAGTTAAAGTTTCAACTTTCAAATGTAGTCACTCCAAGCCTAAAGTGTGTGTGTGACAATAGTTTGTTTTTCTAAAGTAACTTTACCAAGATTTTGAGAAAAAGTGTTTTGTATAGGACTTAATATAGTCGTCATGTTCGTTTTTCTGTTCAACAACTCCGATTGAATTTTGACTCAAACCAAATATTTTTTATTTGAAAGCCATATAATTCATCATCTCTAAGGTTTGTTACGCCATAGCAGAACCATTTTTCTCCCAGATAACTAAAGGATTTGCTAAGAAAGGAAACAAAAAAATTAAAATATTACAGCAGAGAGGTTGCAAGGCTAAAAAAAATGGTATTACTATTATTCTACATCAAACAATAAAGTTGGAATTTGGAAATGCTTGGCGGCTATACAACGTGACCAGCGCCCGCCTCCTCTTCAGACGTGTCCTCGACAACCTGGCGGTTGTTCGGTCTCCGCTTTTGGGGGCCGGAGTGCTTGGTCGCGGGGGTTTCCTTTTCCTCAACCAATTCGGTTGTGTCCCTTTAACTTGCCTCATTACTCTTAGCTCCCGACTACACTCTTAGCCTCCTCCCGTAACTTTATTCATTACTACTAGTCTCCACTACCCCTACGCTACAATGAGTTAGGTTAGCCCGAGGCTAGGAATGAATTCTAGAATTTTCCCAAGCTACTTCTTTCATTACACTTCTTGAACCAACCCCCAAGGAAACCTCACTTTATCTGTACCAGAAGGCCATTTCACTTGATGTTGAAGTTGATAAATGAGCAGCTAGATTGATAAATTCATTCCCGGGAAAAGAGATCTTTGGAGGAAGTTGCAGAAAATTGAACGGAGAGGCGAGAAAATCATGCAAAAGAAAAAAACAAAAAAAACCAAATATACAAATATAATTCGAACAATTCCAAATAGAACCACATGCAGATCCTCCATTTCAAACTTTCATAATATCTTGCATATCAAAAAACGACAATTTAAGCATGAATTCTGAATTCATGTTCTCTCTCTCTCTCTCTCTCTCAATCAGAGCCCGAATTTCTAATCAGAAAACAAAAGCCGAAAAACCCAAAGGAAACAAACACGTGGGTATTCAAGAAAGTGAGCAAAAAAAAAAAAAGGAAAAGTGAGGAAGACGAACCGTGGGTCAGTTTCCATGGCGATGTGGAGAGCTTGGTTGATGGCAGAGTAGAGATTCATTGATGATTTATTAGCATTTCCATTTCCAATTAAATCATCACAAGAAGAACTCGAAAATTCCCTTTTAAAGCCATTTTTAAAACTACTAGCACTAGTTATTGATCTGGAATTAATCAATCGTCCTATTCTCTTAACACTCAGATTGCCCGCCATAGCCGAAAATTTGTCAAAGAGTGTTTTTTTTTTGTTATCGCCTTGAGGTGTAGGATTTTGTTAAAGAAAAGAACATTTAAAAGGTTAATCAAACGTGAAGTAGTAGCTTAGGATCAGAGCAAACCTCAGAGTTGTCTGTCTGTGTCTTTGTCAGCAATGCTTATCGAATAATCTTTTTCAAATTTTTTTTTTTAAATTATTTGAGAAATTGTAGAAAATATGCCTAGATTTACAACTTGAATCAGGAGATATAAGTTCATAGTTTATAATTACGAGATTAGAATTATTTTTTATTTATATGTATTTTTTTAAGAGAAAATATTATAACGAATCATAAATTATAATTCAAATCATAGTATGAATTCCCTTACTAAATATCTCCTACTTAAATAACTAATTTATCCTAATGAGAAAATAATTAAGGTGTCGTTCACTTTGCGGATTTGAGTTTTCAATTCGAACTGAGATGTGACATTTTTCTGAGAGCTTTTCACTGTAGTAAAAAAAGTTATATGTGACATTTTTTGAGAGCTTTTTACTGTAGAAACCTAAAATTAAAAACTCGAATCGGTAAAATGAACGAGGTCTAAACTTACTCGATTGTATGGGCATGAGTTTTTACTATTTATTATTGATTAATATTTTTTTAATTATTATAATTATTTAATTAAAAAATATTAATAAAAATTTAAAAATTTAAATTTAAATTTATACATTTTAATAAATATTTGTCTAATTTTTTCCTCTACTAATATATAGAAGTTAATTAGCCTTTTTACGTTTTAAATTTTTCATTTTCTAATTTACCATTTTTCTTTTTTCTTGTTTTTCCTTTTTTTCTCTCGATATCCTTTTCTCCCTTCTCTCTTTATCCATTGTTTGTAGATATGCTCTTTTCTCTCATCTTTTTTCTCTCATCAGAATATATATTGTGTTTATTTATAAATAATAAATTTAATGTGTAAATTTAGAATTTTTTGTTACTGAATTATATTAACTTTATTAATATAAGATTAAAAACATTTTTTAATTCTATCCAGAGTAGTGACAGTGAGAAGAGATTAGGCTCTATTCACTTTATCAATTTGAGTTTAAAATTTAAGTTTTATTACAGTAAAAAGTTTTTAAAAATAATCACATTTAATTTTTTTTACAGTAAAAAATTATCATATAAAATCACATCTTAACTTAAATTATAAATTTAAATCAACAAACGGAAGCAAAAATTCTCTTGGGCCTTAATTCACTGACGGGCTTTGAATGTTGAGTTTAACCATCAAATCAACGGCATGCACTAGGGAGTAGTAGGCTACTAGGCTTCCCCTAAACGATAATATTTTTATTTTTACATGCCTAATTCACTTTTTTTTTTTTTTTTTTTTTTTCCTTTCGGAACACTTTAGTGGCTTTAAAACTTAAATT